TCAAAAAAAAAAAAAAAACAAATTCACTCCACTCTGCACTCTTCTTTTATGTCATCTTGTGTTCATATTGCTTATTGTTGGTACAAAGGTGCAGTAACCTCGTAACCACTTGATCAAACTCTTCTTCTCCTTTCTCTCTTATCTTGTTCCTCAATTCTCTTACCTTTGCCTTCACACTTTCTCCACCATTCTTCTCCATCACCACATTTCTTATCACTTTTGCTGTCTCTTCTCTATTCAGTTTCCCATTTTCATCTCTCACAACCTCCATAGTTGTTCCTAGCTCGACCGCCATTCTTGAATGAGTATGTTGATCAAGGTGCATAGGCATGGTTATAAGAGGAACTCCAAAATGTAAACTTTCTAGTATAGAATTCCATCCGCAATGACACAAAAATCCCCCAACACTTGTATGCTCAAGAATTCTTGCTTGAGGTGCCCATTTTTCCACAATGACACCTTTTTCTTTAACTCTATCAAGAAAACCTTTTGGTAGCACATTTTCAATGTTAGTTTCTTCACCTAATGGAAACCTAAGTACCCATATGAAGTTCAGCTCACTTAGCTCTAAACTATGAGCTATTTCTTCAATTTCCTCTTTGGACAAGAAATATTCACTTCCAAATGAAACATAAACACATGAGGACTCATCCTTCTTGTCTAGCCATGTTATAATCTTGGAGTCATTTCCCTCATTTTCCATAGTTATTTTCATTTCACGAATAAGTGGACCGACAGGTATGACTTCTTTCTTGCTTAAAGTTGAGAGATAATCCACATACTTCCCCTCAATTTCATTACAAGTATTGATCAAAATAATATCATGGGATTTTTCCACCCCATTGAAAGCAACATTTGGTCCTAGCGAGTTGTTCATTTTCGCGGCGAGTTGGAGTTGTTTTGCCTCATAATCCTTAAGGAAAATTCCTGAGAATGGAAAGTTTCTTGTGCCAACATACAAATAATGGTGATAGAGGAAAGATATAGAAGCCGAGCCAACTATGAGGAAATGAATAGCAGGAATATTTCTTGAAGAAGCAAGTTGTGGTGCCCATGGTTGAAAACCATCAAAAATAAGCAAGTCAGGATTGAGGGAATCAAGAATTTTGCCAAAGGTTGAACTAGCTTCTCCAAAAGTTTGGATTAATGTTGAGAGGAGGTTTTTTGGTAGGCCATTGGTGGTGTGGTTATAGCTAGGAAGTTGTGTTGATGATGGTAAAGGGAATTCTATTAGTTGGATGTTTTTTGGTAGATTTTCTTGATTGATAGAATTGAGAATAATAGGTGTTGAACAAAAGTATATGAAGAAAAGATTGGTTTTGGAGAGTTTCTTGGCTAGTTCTAAATAAGGAATTACATGGCCATGATAAGGGGCGGACCCACGTGGAGTCAAGTGGGTTCATATGAACCCGCTTCATCGAAAAATAACACTGTATATATAGGTATATTTTTGCTGTTTTCAGACAAGTAAAGGTATAAATATAATTTTGAACCCACTTGAAACAAGTAAAATGTCTAGCCTGTTGGTAAAGGGGTTCAAATTTTACACATGGTCCTGAGTTTGAAACTAGTTATTCACATATGACCTTTAATGTTTTTTTTTGAACCCACTTGAAACAAGTAAAATGTCTAGCCTGTTGGTAAAGGGGTTCAAATTTTACACATGGTCCTGAGTTTGAAACTAGTTATTCACATATGACCTTTAATGTTTTTTTTTGAACCCACTTGAAACAAGTAAAATGTCTAGCCTGTTGGTAAAGGGGTTCAAATTTTACACATGGTCCTGAGTTTGAAACTAGTTATTCACATATGACCTCTAATGTTTTTTTTTTGAACCCGCTTGATAAAAATCCTGGGTCCGCCACTGGCCATTAGCTAACCATGGAACCATTAGAACCTTAAGAGATGTAGTATTAGTATCTTGTATTATCTCCATTGGAAAAAAGCTCTCAAGTTTTTCTTCTCTCTTTTCTTCTTTGTGTAAAATTACTTTAGTTTTAGATGTTTTATAGACAGAGGAAGCAATGAAGTGATCTCATTGCTAGTAGTTAGGCCTACCAAAGAGGAAAAGGAAAGAACTTAATTGGTGTTTGTTTTTATACAAATGCACCTTGTGGTATTTTATGGAGAAGTCATAACAACTTACCAAAAACAGAAGCATGATAAGATTACATAATAAAGTCTAAGTATCAGAGTAGGAATGTGTAAATCAACAAATTTACCATCTTTGTGGAGAAATTAAGGATCTTATTAAGGAGATCGTGTGCAAATTGACTACATTTTGATATTTAGTGAGAAACCAGTAACCAACTCAGCTAGATCAACCTTTGAAAATTAAAAAGAGAACAAAGATCAAGCTTAAATTTTTTATTACCACTTGCTTGCCCAACATCATGTGTGTAATGCATGTAGTGTATATGCATGTACATATGTAACGTATATACATGTACAATACGTATGTATACATACATATGTATGTAAAGTGCATATCAATATTGTCACGAAATAGTGACGAGTGTATACGTATGTAAAGTGCATATCAATATTGTCACGAAATATTAATGAGTGCAGTGGTACTCCTTTCTCTTATCCTTCGTATCAAATGGAAAGACTGCTTTATAAGAAATTTATAACCTAAGGTTATCGTCTTTCCTAAATGTGGTGCATTTTTATCATTTTCAAGAAACCTTAGAGATGTGATTTCAGCACTAGGATTAGAGTCAAGCAACTTACTTTACCTTAGGTTATAATTGGATTAAACTAGGTAAGGTAAGAGAAAATAAAAAGTGAGAAAATCAAATTTTGTCTTTGTTTTTTTGTTGGAGAAATGAAGACGAAAATAGAAATCAACTTGTCAAGAGATTAAAAATGTGGATGTTTTTTTTCTTATCTGAAAACAAAAATATTTCTTTTCCTTCCCTAGTTTCACAGCAAGCCATATAATCTCTGCATGTAGAAGCTCATATTATGTAAAATTTATACTCTAAATGATTAATTTAAGAGTCAACTCGACGTGATCTTATTGCTAAGAGAACTGCCAATTGGAACTAGTGAGCTTGGTAACCATAACTCTAATACCATAGAATTCAGATGTTACCAAATCATTAAGTTGGAAAGTTTTTCAAAATCTTGCAAAATTTTACTATACTTTCAGATACTTCTGGAAGGGGAGCTTTGGAGGAACGGTCAAGTTGTTTCTGTGTGACCTCAGTCACTGATGCTTGCATTAGGATACGCTGCCTACATCACACTCCCTTGGGGTGCAGTCCTTCCCCGGACCCTGCATGAATGCAAGATACTTTGTGCACCGGACTGCCCCCAATTTTATTTTTTTATTTTTTTTTTTTACTTCAGATACTTCTGGAGTACTTACAAGGTTGCAGTTTAAGTTGGTACTCTTCTTGAGCCCATAGTACCCAAGAATGAAATATAAATTGGGTAGCAGAAAATGATTGTCCTTTTGATTGTTCACATTTTGAGCAGATTCAATTGATTTAGACTGGAATGACAAGATATCAACATCCATATTTCTTCAGCGAAAAAAAAAGACGTCCATATTGCAGTAGGAATACCAACCTGATGAATCAGATCCACAGTATTAACACACAAATATTAAAATGTGTAACATTTTCATATTTGAAGGTCAAAAGCAGTCCCTTGAAATGTTATAGCAATGTATGTGTACATGGTATACATAGTCCAGAATCAAATCAGTTGGGTTTTACTCTCACATCTTTGGAGAAAGAATCATGTCACAAATGCTTGCAAGTGAAGTTGAGTTATGATATTGCAATGGCGATGAATCATACAGAAATGGCACAAAACAATTAGTGATAAGGAAGATGAGACCACAGCACTTGGTTCCACAGCTCAAACAATCATTTTTTTTCCGGATTAGATAGTTGTTATTGGGGAAGAACAGGAGGTGAAATCATACGAGTGTTGTATGATTGACAGTGTCTGCATTTTTGCCCGATGATGTGGAAGAATACTTCAGTTGTGTCATTACAGTCATTACACAGAATCCAAACCTGCAAGTAAACAAGTTAAGGAGTTAAGAGAAACCATAGGTAGTTCATCATGTAAATGAAGACCAATAGCATCAGTGGCAGAGCCAGGATTTGAAGCTTATGGGTTCAAGATTCTAGTTCTCGGTTCTTAATTAATAATTTGTACATGTTCAATAGATTTTAATAAACAAGAGTTTGGACCAAAGCTACTGGGTTCAGCCATACTCGTTGTCGAAGAGCTAACTCCTCTACTGAATAGCATGGACTTTTACATGCATTACGGCACTATGGAACATTAAACACCGAACCCGATTTGGGGGCCCTCAGTAATTAAAAGCCAAAACAACTACATGTCAAAAATATGGGGTCAAGAAAAAGGAAGTACCTTCTTATATCTGAGATCTTCGGGCATGATTGTCTCTTCAATCTGAAAAGAAGAAACTTTACTTTTAAGGCAGGACAGAGTACAGCTAGCAAGATAAGCGGCACTCTTGGAAATATAGATTAGAGAAACCTTAACACCTGACCGCCGACCCCACCAACCAAAAATTAAACAAACAAAGCCATGCCATAAGTCCTTTCATTTTCCAGAGTCCTTAAACTGACATTGCAAAAGAATTAAGCATACAGCATGACCAACTTAAGAAGTAAAGGAATCATAACCAAAACCTTAAAACTGCCAGCAGATTTGTGAATTCAGATGTGGACTTGACATATATTTATTGAAAAAAGGGGAGCAAAAAGGTCTTATAGTCCTCCAAATATCTATGTACCAATGCTTAACCTGTTCTCAAGTCATTATGCATACACACAATTTTTGGTGAAAAGATTATGCATCCTCAAGAAATTGGACAATCCCAAGTGTTTGGGACCGATCAAGATTCAAGAAATGGGACTTGGATCATATAGTTAAACTTGCAAGTGGTAATGCTCTACCTGTTCTGAGGTCCGACTCTTTAAAAACAGAAGAAGTTCTAGAATATGCTTAAAACAGAAATCAGCTGTGAAAAAGTTCACTAAGCATGCAAGCAATTCCTATGATAAGATGCACTCTGATGAAATTGGACGTGGACCAATTTCGCGAAGATTAAAATTTTAACCTACCTCCTCATCCATTCTTTTCCAAGCTTTGGACATGTCAATAATTGATCTAGAACATATTGGGCAGCAGTATCTGAGTTAAGAAAAATGGAAGTCAGTAAATGTACAACTTCTCCTTCCACCCAATGGAGACTCAAAAGACAGCATAAATAGATAAATACAAAGTGATTACTTGTCACGCTTTATCATCTCGTGGTAGCACTCAGCGTGCATTGTGTGCCCACATTTCATTACACTAGTGTCTTTCAGAGAATCAAAGAGAAACTGCAATAAAAGAATTAGAGCATTATGAATGACAAGAACATTTAAAGGCAGGATCCACAGCAATTACGTAACATACCTCATAACAAATGGGACAATGATGCCGCATGGAGTTCTCCACGCACGAGTGGTTATTACGCAGACTAACTGAATAACAAGAGCCTGTAGAGTGAAAGCGATAAGTAGGTGAAGAAGCAAATGTACCAAACAACAGGAATGAAGAAGCCACAACATTATGTGAGTGCCCACTGTATGCAACACAAAATCACAAAGAAGACAGCGATATCACCATACAATTTGCAACTTCTCTAAATGAGCAACAGAAATGAAATTGAAAAGCTTTAAACAGTAAGAACTGTAGATTCTCTATTTGCATTATCCAATCAATTAATTAGACAGTAGATATAAGAAAGCAAAAGCTTGGTCACAACTGGTATTTTCAATAAGCACACTTAAATAAAGCATCAAAACATAGTTGCACAACCAGAACTCTGGAAACATTGAG